GGAGCAGAGTGAAGAGCAGCGTGTGCTCCTCGTACAGGCCTCTGCAGGTGTAGGTGAACACCTGAACACACCAACAGAACAATCAACCTGCATTATTCTAAACAAGAATTCAGCTTTAAAATCAGAATAAACCAAACACTTTTACACAATTAAGTTTAATTCAGAATCATCATTTTCATGAAGAATTAAAGGTTTGTTCTTTTTAAAGCTGATTTAAATCTCATGTGAACGAGTCGACTCCAGACACACGCTGTGGTCGTGTAGTGACTGACGTGGCGCGTGAGGTACTCCACGATGTTCCCGATCCGTTTGGCGGTGACCGGAGAGCGGCCGGAGTTCTTCATGGACGAGTCGAACAGGCCCAGGAACTGTCGGAGCGAAGTCTGGTACATGACGTTCACCGCCGACATCTCCACGATCAGGAAGTACAGGATACTGCCCCTGGTGGCCACGGGGCGGAACTCCTCACGCGCCTGGTTTATCTTCACCTCCGTCTCCGCCGCGATCGACAGCTTCTCGCTCACCTGCAGGGGTCAGGGGGTCAGAGGTCAGAGGTCAGGAGTTGGTGAAAATCAACACAGAAGTTCTGAATATCAAATCCAAATCCACTTTATTTCTACAGCACATTTTACAAACAAAACAGTTTCCAAGTTGGTGCTGAGAGAAAATAAACAGAAGACAACAAAAAGGTAAAGAGCTAAAAGGACGGGGGTTCTGTACATGACTGTTTGGGATGAGCCACTTCCTCCTTTCAGAAAAGGATTTGTATGTTTTACTTTTTTACCTTTTCCTCTCAACTGAGAACAGAAAAACACCAAGAACTAACAGAAGTAACAGTACTTTTACCTCGTCAACTGCAGTCCTGTTTGTAGTACTAACAGTAGTAGTAGTAGTAGTAGTAGAAGTAGTACAGTAGTAGTACTAGTAGTATTAGTAGTACCTCCTGAGCCGTGGTCTTGGTGACCTGTAGGACCTGGATGAGGGACTCGTCCTCCACCAGAGATCCTTGTGTGGAGCTGAGTCTGAGCAGGAGACTGTCCTCCAGCTCCTGCATCCTCCTGCGATTCAACGTCACCTCCTCCACCAGGGTCACACGCTCCGCCTCCAGCTCCTGAACGACACACAGGTGAGACACGCCCCTCACCTGTCCCCGCCCTCACCTGTCACACGCTCCGCCTCCAGCTCCTGAACAACACACAGGTGAGACACGCCCCCTCACCTGTCACACGCTCCGCCTCCAGCTCCTGAACGACACACAGGTGAGACACGCCCCTCACCTGTCCCCGCCCCCTCACCTGTCACACGCTCCGCCTCCAGCTCCTGAACGACACACAGGTGAGACACGCCCCCGCCTCCCCACCTGTCCCCGCCCCTCACCTGTCACACGCTCCGCCTCCAGCTCCTGAACGACACCACAGGTGAGACACGGCCCGCCCCCTCACCTTGTCCCCGCCCCCTCACCTGTCACACGCTCCGCCTCCAGCTCCTGAACGACACACACAGGTGAGACACGCCCCGCCCCCTCACCTGTCCCCGCCCCCTCACCTGTCACACGCTCCGCCCTCCAGCTCACTGCTCTCTGAACAACACACAGGTGAGACACGCCCCCGCCCCCTCACCTGTCCCGCCCCACCACCCCCCGCTCCCCCTCCAACTCCTGAACAACACACAGGTGAGACACGCCCCGCCCCCTCACCTGTCCCCGCCCCCTCACCTGTCACGCTCCGCCTCCAGCTCCTGAACGACACACAGGTGAGACACGCCCCTCACCTGTCCCCGCCCCCTCACCTGTCCCCACTAGACCAGGACTAGACCAGGACTAGACCAGGACTAGACCAGGACCAGACCAGGACTAGACCAGGACCCAGACCAGGACTAGACCAGGACCAGGCCCAGACCAGGTGTAGCTGTTTGTTTGGTGGACCTGTTTCTCGATGAGGATGACTCGTCCCAGCAGCTGGTCCTCGAGGCCTCTCTGCGTCACGGTGAAGTCGACCACAGCGACGCGGGCGCTCACCTCGGGGCTGAACACCGGGTTGGACAGTTTGGTGGTGATGTAGAGACAGAAACCCTTCAACACGTCCACCTCTTTGTCCCCCACCTTCACCTGAGGCACAGGGAGAACATCCAACACCAGCTCCAGACCGCGGACTCTCCATCTGACCTGAGAACAACTTTAACCAAGACTCTTTGACTCACTTTGAAGGAAGATCCAGACTTGATGAAGTTCTTGTCCAGGATGTTGTCCAGCACCGGGTCCAGCTCGTGACCCACGTCCTCGATCAGCAGGGGGCGCCCCAGAGACAGACAGTCCTCCAGGTGAGAGCGGAAGTACTTATGGTTCAGAGACGTCACCTGCACGAGGACCAGAAACTGAAGGCCTATTCATATTTCATAAGAACATCAGAACTTTGTTCTTGTATCGAGGACTGAACCCACAAAATGATGTCATTTTGTGTGTCCAGCTCCTGTTGGGCAGTTCTTGTGGTTTGTTCTTGACACCTCAGCTGAGCAGAACATTGTTCGTCAGTTCTGCAGCTCTGTCCCACATTTGGCTCTGATTATTTATGTGTTTGTGGTTTATCTGTTTCCGGTGCGCAGCAAGAAAAAAATGGATGGTTTTGAGTCACAGCTGGAGGAAATGTTGTGGAAATACAAACATGTGTACGACTCGACGCTCACTGATGATAAAGGTGACAAATGGAAGAAATTCACGGAGGGAGATCGACGGCATTTTAGGCTCGGACAAAAATCAGTGTAAAAAAGTCTGGAGTATCTCTGTGACAAGTTTCTGAAAACCAAAAGGCGGGTCACCAAAAAAAAAAAAGAGTATCAGACTGAAGGACAAAAAGAAAAACCCTCGATATAAACCTTCCTGCAGAGGTTGGACTCCATCATCAAACACAGAAACATCAGTAAGACTAATGTTCAAATGGACAGAAGAGGTTCAGACTGAGCTTTAGTCGGGTTTTGAGGCTGTTTAACTTTTGAGGGGCTGGATGACGTCATCGGTCCAAAATAAAACAGCTGATATTTTAAGAACCATAATCACAAAAATGTCACTTTTTGCAGCACAAACGAAGCACAAATGATTGACTCCAGTTTTGTCGTTTTAGAGCATTTTCAAGCTTCCTGGGACTGGTTGAAAAACAAAGCACAAACAATGGACAGTTTTCAAGTAGGTTTGTGTTTGATGGGGTCACACAAACACCCTGACCCCTGACCCCGCCCTGACCCCTGACCCCGCCCTGACCCCCCTGACCCCTGACCCCGGCCTGACCCCGCCCTGACCTGCAGGAGGCGCTCTCTCTCGCGGTTCTGGATCCAGGTCTTGCCTTGTCCCTGGGGGTCGATGAGCAGAGGGAAGCGCGGGGCTTTGGTCACGATGATGCCGTTCTGCACCGACAGAGCGTCTGAGGGGAGACCCTGAAGAGACCACACCCCCACCGTCCCCGAGTCGACCAGCAGAGACGACACGTCTATGTCCTGCACAGACCAGAGACCACAGACCTGAGACCACAGACCAGACCAGAGACCACAGACCAGACCACAGACCAGACCTGAGACCAGACCTGAGACCACAGACCTGAGACCAGACCTGAGACCAGACCTGAGACCACAGACCAGACCTGAGACCAGACCTGAGACCACAGACCAGACCAGAGACCACAGACCTGAGACCACAGACCTGAGACCAGACCTGACCTGAGACCACAGACCTGAGACCACAGACCTGAGACCAGACCTGAGACCACAGACCAGACCTGAGACCAGACCTGAGACCAGACCTGAGACCAGACCTGAGACCACAGACCTGAGACCAGACCTGAGACCAGACCTGAGACCAGACCAGACCTGAGACCAGACCTGAGACCAGACCTGAGACCACAGACCTGAGACCAGACCTGAGACCAGACCTGAGACCAGACCTGAGACCAGACCTGAGACCAGACCTGAGACCAGACCTGAGACCAGACCTGAGACCAGACCTGAGACCTGACCAGACCTGAGACCAGACCTGAGACCAGACCTGAGACCACAGACCAGAGACCAGACCTGAGACCAGACCTGAGACCAGACATTAAACGTGCCGAGTCCTCACCTGGCTGAAGGGGATGTGGTGCTCCTCCATCAGGTTCTTCCAGAGTTCCTGCAGCAGATCCCTGAACTCCTGGTTGAAGGGCCCAGAGTACGAGAGGAACCCAGAGGAGAGCAGCACGTCTCCCACCAGACTCTCCATCTGAGCCTCAAGACCTGAGCACGAGCTGGTCCACCGCACCTGAGACAGAACCAGGACTCAACCGGGACCCAACCAGGACTGAACCGGGACTAAACCAGGACTCAACCAGGACTCAACCAGGACTCAACCGGGACCCAACCGGGACTGAACCGGGACCCAACCAGGACTGAACCAGGACTAAACCAGGTCTACCCAGTACCTTCTCTCCTCCGAGTCCGTCTATAAGAGCGGTGGCGTTGGACATTTTTCTTCTGCAGTTCTGAGCGTCGTCCTCCAGGTCCTGCTTCTCCTTCATCGCTGCGTCGTACAAAACCTTTCACAAAAACAAAACATCTTAGTATTTACGTTTTTAGCTACAAACTGAAGCGAGGTGAAAGGTTCGGGTCAAACTAAAGGGGCTCAAAGATAAGAAACACACTTCCTTCTCCAGTTTGATCTTCTTCATGGCTGATAGACGTAGGGTTGGGGGCAGCGATCTGATTGGTCCGTTATTCATGTTCATGTTTTGGTTTAGGGACAAAATAGAGAAATAAAAAATTCTGACCCTGTTAATACAAACATTTAAGAGCAAAACGCCGAGGCAGGTCCAGCGAGGAGCCACAAGATCCCGATCAAAGTGACTAGAGCCGTAGTCAAAAGGAGCCGGAAGAGCCGCCCGGACAAACTTCCTGTTTGGAACTCGGCGACGAGAACGTTAACGCTACGTCCTTTTATATAAAGGGGCCATGGCAGCGGTCGGTGGGTCGTTTGGTACGAGGTCACACAGAAAGAATAAATAACTTGCATTATTTCTGTTTTATTAATTATCCGAATCTGGACTCTTGATTCATGTCGTCTTTGTCACGTGTCACATCAGCACTGAGTCTCCGTTCAGTCTGCAGGTTTAACGCTCAATTCACATTTTTTTGTGAACGTCGATGTTTTTTCGAGGTCGTTCACATTTCCAGTTAAATGTGACTTGTATGTGACTCCAGTGTGAACATTAAACGGTCCAAAAGTGTCCCACATGTGACACTGGAGACACGACGACGTCAACCGCAGCGAGCGTCTCTGTGTTTACACCTGGAGATTTTAAAGTTCCTCTCGTACCGGAGCCACAACATGAACAACTGACTTGTTTTAAGGAGGAGATTGAGAAGGAGAAGGAGCAGGTTTTTGGTGGTGGTGTTTTGTGGTGAGTGGAGATGTGCTTCACTTCAGTCACATGGATCATGAACAGTTTTCTCTACTTCAGTGCAGAATAGTGACGTTTGTGTCTTGTTGATGACGTGTAGGTGGATGAATGTGACCTGACTGTTCACACTCAAGTCACATGTTAAAGATCAGATATGGATCAGTTTCAGGAGCACAGATCCAAGTGTCCTGGTCACATGTGAAAACATCACATCTGTGTGGTTCAGACTCACATTAAAAGATCAGATACAGGAACATAGAGACAAAAAATCTGATTTGGGAAACTTCAGGTGCATCTGAACTCAGACTAATATTAAACCCACAAGCTGCAGAATGAGTAAAAAACAAACGTCTTTGGAAACATTTATTATTATATTTACAATAAACCAGTTTTATTGATCCGCCGCGCCGTTAAAATATGATCTCACGTTAAACTGGACCGTGGTGTAAAAAAGGTTGGGGACGACTGACCTGTGGTTCAGGTCAACGTCTGAAGGTCAGAGTGAGTGAGAAGAGCCACAAACCATGGAGCCCAGTCACGTCCATGAACACTTCCTGTCTGTACCGTGGGGCTGAGCGGGTGAGTCAAGTCCGTTCAGACGCACAGTCTGTAGTCGTGATCGGATCAGGACGTCGGGTTCTGACCTGAACTTGGTCCAGTTCCTTCTGTTTGGCGTCGAGCTGCTCCTGAGCTTTGGTCAGTTCAGCCTGAGCCACAAGGAGACGAGCCTCCTGAAGAGCCAGATTAGACTGTGGAGAAACCAGAGTCAAACCAGAGTCAAACCAGGACTAAACCAGGACTAAACCAGGTCTAAACCAGGACTAAACCAGGACTAAACCAGGACTAAACCAGGACTAAACCAGGACTAAACCAGGACTGAACCAGGACTAAACCAGGACTAAACCAGGACTAAACCAGGACTGAACCAGGACTAAACCAGGACTGAACCAGGACTAGACCTTCAGCGGCAGGACTTCCTTGTTGATGGCGTAGAAGTCGACCATGGCCTGTGTCCAGGAGCAGAGTCCTGCCACGTTACCGCAGGTTCTCTTGGCCGAGTCCATGTTGTAGTCGTCCATCTGCAGGTACGGGGCCACGAGCTCCACCACCTCCTCTGTGATGGAATCCTGAGGAAACACCAACATTAAAGCTGCACTGTGGAACTTTCAAAAGGGACGGGGGCAGTTTGAACCCGACAGACGAATCATCGAGAGTTACTCAAACATGTGAAGGAAACAGAACACGACTCCAGGTGTGTTTGTGATGAGGAACAATGTGTAACCAGAGGCTCAAATTAGAATGACATTTTATGTGTTGCTCCCAGCGTCACTGATTATTACAGAAGTGGAGACGAGTCACAACAAACGCAACAACACAACAAAAAGCCACAACGGAAATGACCGCGGGACTCGATTTTAATGCAAACGCCACAACACAAACGCACAAGAGCAAAGTCCAGAAGTAAACAACAAGACCAAAACTTCAAGTGAATTCATCTGATATAAAAGTGTATTGAACAGATACATATGTACTCGAGTTTATCAAACTGTTGACCTTTTTTCTGGACCATTTTTGGTTCTAAAGTTCCATATGTTTTAAACAGACCATGAATGAAACATGGAACAAAAATTATTTCCCAAATTTCAAAGACCTGAAAATCATGTAAATAAATGTTTGTATTTCATCATATCTTGTGTTATTCCATCTTTGAACTGTTGATGAAGGGACAGGATTTAAAAAAAAAAAAAAGTATTTAAAATGATAAAAATGTTCTTGGAAGGACTGACATATTTTATAGAAATAGTTTCTTTCATTTTGAAGTAATATTAAAGTTTTCAGAAGAAAAAAGTGACAAATGATGTAAAATCCTGCACCTTCTACTTGTTTGTACAATTTTCCCTCCGTTACTTTTCCCTCCGTTACCATGAACTTTCTTCATAAAAAATCTCATGAGTCAAAAAGTCAGAGGTTTTTCAACCTAATCTTGTTCCATATGGTAGAAAACTATATGAAGCAAATATTCAAACCAGTTTGTTAAGGATATGGAAGTGAGAACCAAGAGTTATCACTGTTTGGATTTACTGCC